AACCATATAGCATGCTATAGGAGTTATGCTACTAACGAATATCTCAATATGCAAAGAAAGAGCGTCACATCGTCGACTCCGCTGTTTTTAACTTCCACAGTACTCTCATCGACCATGATTGATAACCAAATCACTTTTTAATTTTCATCAATAGCTACCATGTTCAGTCCCGCCCAAATTATCTCGAACAGATTTCTACCAAATTATCTCGAACAGATAAGAGGCGTCCAAGAAAGGAGCCTCCATTTCATAATTTGCCAGCGGGTGTTTCAACTCTATTGAGTACTATATTTGAGAAATAATATTTCAGACCGTAAAACACTTCAGAGAGATATTTTCCCGCGGGCAACCATACAGCCACTGCTAAAGTGCTCTATATTAAAAAAGACAAAAGAACGCTCTCAGAGCGCGAGATTTTAAAGACAGAGGAACCAAATCTCAATCAAAATGCTAAAGCTCAGACGCAAAATACTATGTTCAATTAAAAATAAAAAATCCGTCACGAAATCACAAAATCAATGTCAAAGTTGAGGCTCAAAATACATACCAATCACCCAGTAAGCAAGCAAAAAAAAATAGCTTCGAGAGGAGTCACAGAGCTTCCAACGAGTTCAGACAAGAGACATGGAAAGAATTACTATGCGTATCAGAGATTCCTACAAGTAGAAAAGAAGCGCGAAGCCAAGCCCGGATTCGTTGGCCGCAACGCCAGGAAATCGAAGCTCGAACTCGTGGGCTCGGGCTCCTTCCTCGACGATTGTTCTAGTTGTTTGGGTTGAGTTCGGGTCGAACTGATGAGACCGTAGGCTTCAGCCTAATACAAATATAATATTTATCAATTTTTTTTACTTACTCTTAGATACTCCTCAAGTATAATCAAGTACAAAAAAAAGAAAGAATATTAAGAAAGATAATTACGGTGTTTTAGAAAAAATATGTCGTATTTCTTATAATTAACTAACTTACCTAATTTTTTAATCTAATCAAATTAGTTAAATATGTCTTATATTAAAGATCGGATCATCTGTAAAAGCCTATCAATTTATGGGCTAGTTGTAGCCCGTTTAACATATTTATCAAATATTGATGCCGAAAATTATTAGTGTCCATTTTTTATTACCAGAATTTTTTTTGCATTACCGGAATTATTATTAGAAAAATGGCAAATAAAGATTCCTGGATATGTGAAATTGCTAAATAGGTTTCACAATATGAAAAAGGGCCTCAACAGACCTGATCCTATATTGCAAATATAAAACGATGGTGAAATATCTGAAATGTCTTTCTTTTTTTCTTTTTCTTCCTCTCCAAATTTCCTTTCCTTTCCTTCTTCTCTTCCCCTCTATCTTCGTCCTTCTCTTTCCTCTTGTTCTATCATAATTATTTGGTACGCCATATCTTCTCCAAACTTATGATTGGAACAAGTATAATGATTGTATTTTGGTGGCCAAATCAATTAAGGTGTGGAATGCGAGGAACAAACAAGCTCCAATTACAATGCTAAATGGGCATGGCTATGTGGTAAAGTGAATAAAGTTCTCCCTTTATATGTAGAATTTGATGGTTTCTTGTTCATATGATATGACTGTTTGCATTTGGGATTTTATGGTTGAGGATGCACTTGTGAGTTGATATGATCATTGAAGTGCATTTTACTGGTGGTGTTGATATGAACATGCTTCTTGAAGGGCTCATGACAGTTCTAATGCTGTAGTTTTATATATTGAGAAGAAATGAGAGGTGAAGTTGATGATGAAAGATGTTATTTAGAGGAAGTTGTTGTTAGTTTGAGGTGCACTTATCACTGAATCTTGCAAAAACTGGTTGCTGTCAAAGCACCTCTATTTTTTTGTTATTTGACTTACCATTATTGTAATTTTGCTTGTTAGTGTTGTAACTATGTAATGTGAAAATAATGGCAACTTGTCATGAAATTTCTGATAAGCAATTTATAGGAATTTAAGATTCTTTGTTAAATTGATAATTTTCACAATTCCTTGGCGAATAACAAGTTCAGTAACGCATATAACAAGTTTCGATAATCATTTCATAGGAATTTAAGTTTCTATGCCAAAATGACAGAATTTTCCCAATTCCTTGGCGAATGACAAGTTTAGTAAGGTGAATGATAACTTTAGATAAGCAATTAATCAGAATTTAAGATTTGTGTTAAATTGACAATTTCTATAATTTCTTGGAGAATGGCAATTTTAGTAAGACGAATAAAAATTTCTGATAAGCAATTCATACAAATTTAATTTTCTCTTTTCAAATGATAATTTCCACATTTATTTAGCAGATGACAAGTTTTGATAAGCAATTCATGACAAGTTTAGTTAGCGAATGACAATTTTAGTGAGGTGAATGACAACTTCTGATAAGCAATTCATACAAATTTAATTTTCTCTTTTCAAATGACAATTTTCACATTTATTTAGCAGACGATAAGTTCTGATAAGCAATTCATTACTTGTTTAGTTAGGCGAATAATAATTTTAATAAAGTGAATGACAACTTCTAATAAACATTTTATACGAATTTAATTTTCTCTATTCAAATGGTAGAATTTTCATATTTCTTTAGCAGATGACAAGTTTAATAAGGCAAATGATATAATTTCTATGTTTCTGTCACTGCATTTCTATCACTACGTTTATGATTAAGTGGACAATATTAAATAGCTCTATATTGTCATAATATAGAATTGATTAATTTTCTCTTTTCAAAATCACGGCATCCTCATTATTTTCACATTATATAGTTACAACACTACCAAGCAAAATTACAACAATGGTAAGCCAAATAACAAAAAGATGGAAATGTTTTGACAGCATCTAGTTTATGCAAGATTCAATGATAAATGCACCTCAAATTAACAACAACCTCCTTCAATTAACATCTTTCATCATTAACTTCATCTTTCATTTCCTCTCAATGTATAAAACTACAGCATTAGAATTGTCATAAGCCCCTCAAAAAGCATGTTTATATCAACACCAATAGTAAATGCACTATGATGATCATATCTACTCACAAGTGCATCCTCAACCATAAAATCCCAAATGCAAACAGTCATATCATACGAATAAGAAACCATCAAATTCCACATATAAGACAAGAACTTTATTCACTTTACCACATAGCCATGCCCATTTAGCATTGTAATTGGAGCTCGTTTGTTCCTCACATCCCACACCTTAATTGATTTAGCCACAGAAATACAATTATCATACTTGTTCCAATCATAAGCTTGGAAAAGATATGGCGTGCTACATAATGACAGAACAAGAGGAAAGAGAAGGACAAAGAGAGAGAGAGAGGAAGAGAAGAAAGAAAGGGAAGGAGATTTGAAGAGGAAGAAAGAGAAAAAAGAAGGGCATTTCGAACATTCTACTATCATTATAAGACCGGATTTGTTGAGACTGTTTTTCATATTGTGAAACCCATTTAGCAATTTCACATATTGAAGGTCTTTATTTGTCATTTTCTATTATTATTAGTGGGGTTAAGATCCTAAAATATTTTTAGAGGTGTACCCATCATTCTTGAATATTTTGGATGCAATTCTACCCCTAGCATATCAAAATTGGATCAATCAGCATCTCCGGCCTAACACCACACAAACATCCGCCCAATTTTTTTGGCACGAGCTTCCTGCATTAAAGCACAAGGCGAGCTGGTTTTTCAGCATTGTAAGAGGGGGCTGCGGTCATCTTCCTGCTGAAGAAAATTACTGCTCAAATCTTAAATATAAGATCTTTATAATTGGGGTCTTATATTTAGAACTGGAGGAGTACAAATTTTACCTAGGTCATTAGTTGAGGTAGAACATTAACTATGTGAGAATTAGCTCCAAATTACATATTTTACCTGGTTGTAAATGCGCCTTTTTAAGCGCTGCAACAATCTTCAAACTCTCCTTTTAACGAGAGTATCCTATTATTTAACTGCTAGATGTACCTTTAAAAATATTTTAGGTGGCAGACCTTAACCTTTATTAGTTTCTATATATTCTATCTATTTTGGGCATGCGGCAGGCCACATTGGCTCTTGTCTCTCTTTTTTTTGGCCTCTTTTGACAATAATTTTATACTTTTGATTATTTTACTTTATACAAATTTTAGTTTGATTTTTTAATTTTATAAATTATTTTTTGAGCATCTAATTCTAACGCCATTAGTTTTGTTGGTGAAAAATATTGGCATTACAATTTCAAGTGTCAATAGAATATTTTGAAAGAACAACATACTAAACTTTTAAAAATTAAAATAATTAAAATAAAATATTATTATTTACTCTCGTTCCGCAGCAATTTAAAATTGCAACTAGAAGTTTCTCCCTCATGCAATACACAGACTAGTATGTTTGATTAAATATGTAATTAGATAAGACTTACATCTAATTCAATATATAGAAATCCCAATTAAAATTATTATTCAAATCTAAAATTAATTATTAATTTTTTCATTTAAACCTCCAATTAAAATCCCGTTTAATTATATTGCTTCCCATTTAATTTAATATATTTAAATCCTAATCATGATATCATTTAAATCTCATTAAATGAATATATTCAAATTGTACATTGTCATACCGCCTACTTTTTAAACGAATAAGGTATTACTCCTCCGGTCCTAATTATAAGACCCAATTGACTTATTTGAAGAGATTAAGGAAGTAAGTTAAGTTGGTTATTTATAATAAATAAGTGTTGTCATTCCTAAAATATCCTTGCTAATTAAGTATATTAGCTAAAACTATCATTATTAGAAGGATTATCTTGGAAAAAAATGCATAAATATAAGAGACAAAATGGATTGGGTCTTATAATTAGGACCAAATAAAAGGTCAAATTGGGTCTTATAATAAGGACCGGAGGAGTATAAGATTTTTAAAAATATAGTTAATGAATGATTGATAGTTGATTATATCAGCTTCCATAGCAAAATGCAACTTCTTACCTCCCAAATAAACATTGAGGTTGATATAAAATTGTAGAATAAACTCAATAAAAAGGTGCACTTACTGATTATTGATTGCTAATAATGAACAAGTCCATGAAGATCTAGGCGTCACTGTCTATGAGACATAAATGGTAGAGTTCATTTCATAGATTTATCATTTATGGAATACATTTGAAAAAGGTTATCTAACAATTATCTTCCCTTACATTATGGAACAATAATAAGGGTCTTGATATTGGTATGAAGTCCTGCATTGATGAATTGGATAATAGGGAACACTTTCTGGATAATAAGAAACTGTCTTGTAATCAAATTGTGTGTTAATTTTGGTATCTTTTGTCCTCCTTTCTTCTTCTTTCATGGGACTCACACTAAGTAGCTCAGCATGACCAACATACTTTCTAAGCATATTTGTGAGCTCAACTATATCCAATCCTTCTCCTATCACTTCTATTTGCTCTTTCTCTTCCCCTTTGAATCTTGCACCTTCCACTCCTGCACATCCATGTATTTTTTCTCATTTAAAAAAGTTCGATGATCACCATAAAATATACATGCTCTAACAAATCATTCTTAACACTCTTGATTAGGTTCTAAATATAGAAACCATATGATTAATTTGAAGGAATTGAAAAAATTAGTTAAATTAGTTATTTATTAAAAAATGTGTATTAGTTTTCTAAAATGCCTCTTTAATTATTTGGATTAAAAACTACTTTTTGACAGAAATCTCTTTAATAAGTACAATTAATAAAAATTATTTGGAGAAAAAATTATAAATTTAGGAAACAAAATATATTGAAATCTTGCATTTGGAATCAAAATCAACCCCTCCCGTTACAAGAAATATTTAGGACTACAGAAATATTTAAAAGTTAGCTTCTTAAATTTTGGGTAAATTCAGTATATGGATACTCACCAGAACAGCTAACACTAATCTTCAGGGCTTTGGATCTCAGCTTGTGGTTGTTCATGCGCCCTAATTTTATCACAACCTTTTGCTGCATTTATTCACACAAGATTAGTTCATCATCACAACCCAACTATCTTCATCGCTCGTTTTCACTTTTAATTTTGGAAAAATCCCAGAAAAAACCCTTGGAATATACCAAATCCCAGATTGGATCCTTAAATTTCAAAAATGACAGAATGGGTCATTGACCCAATCTGTCATTTGTGAAATTCAGGCGAATTGACATTTTTGCCCCTGAGTAAAAGCGAGTAGTTATTCTCTAAACAAATCTAGGTAACGCTTACACTGTTCTAGTGATTACAAGATTCGTTGTAGTTAATAATAAGGTACCTGACAATAATAAGATACCTGACTATGAAAAAACGAGTAGTTATTTTCTACACAAATATAAGTAATACTTACATTGTTCTAGTGATTACAGAATTAGTTGTAGTTAATAACAAGACACCTGACTATAAAAAAGTGAATAGTTATTCGCTACACGAATCTAGGTAACACCTAAACTTTTATAGTGATTCCTTGAATCATTGTAGTGAATGAATAAATGAGGGCAAAATTGTCAATTCGCCTGAATTTCACAAATAACAGATTGGGTCAATGACCCATTCTGTCATTTTCGAAATTTAAGGACCTAGTCTCACATTTTCCATATTCCAAGGACCTTTTTTGGGATTTTCCCTTTAATTTTCCCAAATTCAAATTATTCATATATGAAAAATAGGACTTGCAAGGAGAAAATACCACACAAAAAGATGGGGGGAAAAAAATTTACGTCTTGTTGGACGATCATTCGTCCTGATATGTTTATATATGAATAAAACATTTTTGTTCATTCCATTCTATTCTATTCATTGCAAGTGTGGGAGTATTGAAATTTAATTTAGGAACATAACTAAAAAAGGCGCAAATATCAATTAACTAGACAAGAAATATTAATTCAACAGTAATTGAACAGAAGCAAAATATTTCGATCTAATGAACATCACAAATGATAAATAATATATTCATTGTTTGATGTGGAAATAAAAAGAAAGAAAGAATTAATGTTCCTAACATTTTTGTTTGATTTCATGTGTCGTTTTGTATATCAAATAGATGGGTGGATGCTAAATGAAAATCTCAAAAAATAAACTTCAACGCCATCGAATAATCACAACAAGCCAAGCCACGGTTACTTTGTATAAAAAAAAGAACAAAATGAAAGGAAATACTCCTAATATTTTTTTTTTTAAATTTAGTTCCCATACCTTCATGATTTTCTGGGGAAAGTTTGATATCCGAAATGTGATTGGAGAGAGAGAGAGAGAGAGAGAGAGATGATTATAGAAGTGAACTTGTATGGATGGAGGCGGAGGCCAATAACACCGAAGCCTCGCATTTGCTATTTATAGGAATTGATTGCCCATAGAAAAAATTAATATACTAATTAATAATAGCCAATGCCAATAATTGAGAGGAAAAAGAGTCCAATTTAGAGAGCATGATGTAAATTTCCAAGCAACGCTTGTGGGGAAGATGCCAATAAAATATTAAGTTTATAGCTTGTCACAAACCGTAAACAAAAGCAACTTATTTTATTCATTAGATTAATACCTTTGTTAGTTTTGAGAGTTTGATGGAATTTTTGTTTTGATTCTTATAATTTTAAATAATTGGTTTTGGTCCTTATAATTTTATAATTTTTCCTCTAAATTTAATGAATAATCTCTATATTTTTAACGAGTTTTGATTTTAATCTTTATATTTAAGTTCAGACAGAGTCCTTTTAAAATTATAAAGACCAAAACTAATTATTCAAAACTACAGGATCCAACAATGATATTAACCATTTTTTATTTTATATAACATATAATACTACCTCTGGTCCTAATTATAAGGCTTTATTTGTAGACTATAAATGAAGTCTTATAATTAAGGTCGAAGGTAGTATTATAGATCATGTTTTTAGAAAATGTATGAAAATGAAATTATATATAAGTAAATGAAGATTAATTATATCTGTGTTTTCACATTGATATGTTCAAGCCGCAACACACCATTTACCAAATCTAACAGAGAGTTGAGGAAGAATTAAAATTCACGGCTCATCAGACTAGAAATTCAACGTTTTCAACGACCCAAATCCAAGACTGAAGCTTCATTGTACTTTCGCTGGAAACATTTTTCCACACATTTTCACCGACCTTTTCTCTTTCGGCTTGTTTTCTTTTCATTTAATTTAATGAATGATTAATATATATATATATATCAATATATACTACAAAATTAAATTAAAAATGTTTCCCAGTGTGAATTGCAGACAGAGCATATATATTATTCATAATTTGTGAATATTACAATTTTATATGAAGTTTCATTTTATGTAGCAATTTTGTTTTTTTACCAACTATGTAGAAATTTATAATAAGTCATGGATAAATCATGAAATGAAGGGCATCATTTTTTTTTAATTTCAAATTATGTATGATATGTATGAAAAAGTGTCTACTGTTATTTCTTGCACGCAAGGTTCTCCCGCCCATTCTTTGAAGTTGAACTATAGGATTTTTAGAACTCAATGTCCACGCAATTAGAACCTAATAAGAAGCATAATTATGCTAAAGTGCCAAACTTATCTAAACTGTTGAGATTCTTCAAAGGACGGTTCCAACCATTTTGTCATTAAATGATTTTGGTGTTTAATTAATTAATTAATTATATGCCTCCCTCTTTACCTTCAGTTTGAAAAGAATTTCCTTTTTTTTTTTTTTGCTATAACAACGCGCTTATTACTTTTAACAAAATATTTAAACTCATGGCTACACGCTTAAGAGGAGTGTTTGATATTGAAAAGAATATGATGTCCTATTGTGATTTAAAAGAAATGATGATATAAATAATTATCATCATGTTATTGATATTCTCATCATAGTTAGGTCAAGGAAACTTTTTTTTTTTGGGAGTGTATTGTAACATGAGCATGAATTTAGATGATTTTATCAAAATAAAACAAGAAAAAATCAATCAAAAATATCAAAAATCAATCAAAAATATCATTTTATTTTTAAACAAGGATTACGCCTTTATACAATATTTTGGGTGTGCTTGGGTAATTACCCAAACTATGGTTTAGGCAAAAAATTTCCCAAACACCCACAAGAAATTAGAAACCATGGTTTTGGCCTAAAAACCATGATTTGAAGAGAAGCGTTATGAATTTGCTTTTGGGGAGAAAATTGGAGAGTGTCAGATTTTTTTTAATGCCAATGGATATGAGGATTTTTTTTTATTACCAGAAAAGAGGTAGTACGTTGTTACATTCTCTTCTGCCTTTGGTTTTTTTTTTATTCATTTATTTTCTGTTTACAAAAAATTATTCATCTTTTCCAAAAATATTTTTAATCTTATATTTTATAAATGTTTTTACACACAAAGTAACAATTAATTAATTATATTAAAGATGAGAGGTAGTATGTTGTTATAAAAACTAGTTGTTAAAAAATGTTATAGAATTTCACGTTTAAAATATCTTTAAAGCAAATTAATATTTTTCTGTTAGAAAAAATAATCATTTTTTATAAACATATTTAATCTTATAATTTGTAAATATATATACGCATATCAATTATTTCTTAATTATATTATCTTATATATTATTAATTATGTTAGTAAAAATTATTTTATTAACAATTTTATTTCTTCAAATTAAAATATATTATAAAATCTATCCTTTATGTAATTATCATATTAACTTATGCCTTTTTTAGTAATTTGCACATATAAAAAGTGTTTCTGATAACAACTATTTAAACACTCACTTTATCAGAATTACTTTTTCACAAAATTTATTCTTCACAAAATCTATTCTCCAGAAGCCATTCTCCAAACCATAGTTTGGTTCATCCAAACACCCCTTTTAGCTGATTTTATTAGTTTCTGAGTTGTTCTCAACGTAATCGATTTCATAACAGAGATTTCTAGTAGATTATAATATCAACATATTAGGTTTTCAATGAATGGACAAATTATGAAATAAATTAAGGATTTGTTTGGAGCTTTATTCAAAACAGACTTTTAAGCAAGTTCACGTAAGTTGAGACAAAACTTTATCACATACTTACCTTATATTCCATAAATCAGATTTGAAAAGCTATTTATAAGTTAATCTAAACAAGCGCTAAGAAAACCACTTCTTTGTTTAAACTCAGTGCTCAGGACCCGCAATGATGGGGGAGTCTGCTAGGGGTATTCATGGAACCCGGTTGCACGCTACGCCTGCCGAAGCCCACAAAAAAATGCCCAGCCTGTCCTTAGAAAAATGGCCTGAAAGAAATAGTGGGTATGTTCGGGCTAGGCAAATTGTCGGGTAGGGCTGGGCATCGAGCACGATATGCTGTCTTGCCCATTTGGCCCTGCCCGCAAAAATATATATAATTTTATTTATATATTTTATTCGCCTTATATTTATCTCCTGAATCAAAAACACAGTTGCATCAATATTCAGTATTCATTATACTTATTTATTTTCAAATGATTTTGAGAGTTAAACGTGTTATCATTTACTGTGATTTGTATAACTATTCTTTTTTTTTAATGCAAACATTATGACTATTGGTAATTTGTTTAATCGATCCATCCTCTTATGAGTATTTTGGAGTTATGGAAAAAAATTCATATTTGGTTAAGAAATTTTAGAAACTAGAAAAGCAATTAAATTTAATAAAATATACTAACAACAATTTTGTTTGTCATAGTTCACTCCTCTTAGCTACCATAAAATGTAGTTTCAGAGTATATTAATTAGGAATAACTAAATTAAGGCAAAATTACTATTTTAACATAAAGTTACATTAGATTATTTAGAGGAACATAAATAATTACTTAATTAATATAGTATATTGATTTGTTAGGCATGGAAGCCCGCCCTACCCAACCCGAGCTTATTAGGGCTTTTCATGGGTAGAGTTGGGCAATGGACTGTATTTTTTCAACCCATTCACTTTTTGGACAGAGTACCGAGCAAGGGTCCAGTTCTTCCCATATACAGTCCTAAAGTCCGCATTCCAACATGTGATATGAGCACCAAAAGCCATCATCAAAACTACATCGTTTAGGTTAAAGCGACCAATCTTGGCCGTTAACTGTAATATCATCGTAGCCGTTCACTGTTGAGGGATTTTTGCTGCATTCTGAATTTCTGAAGGAAATTGTTGTGAAAATAAGCAATGATTTCTGCACCGTTCATTATACGAACGGCTGCGATGAGGAGCATGGGACAAAACGAATCGTTTTTATGGAACCGAAAGCGAACCAGACAGAAGAATCACCAGAGAAACCACGCAGAAGTGCGGAAGAGTCCAGGACACCGGATTTCCAAACCAGACCGAGACGGACCGGCGAAAATTCACTATACCTCCGAACCTTCAGACCTGTGAATGAAGCAGGCCTGCGAAGTCTAAGTCAGGCCTGAGCCACGAATAAGGACGATAAACTCGACTCGACACAGACGCCAGACGAGACCGTCGTCCTCCCCCAAAGAACCAGACAGCGTAGGGGAAGCAAATGAAGATTAAGGAAAGAGTACGGGTAGGTGGTAGTAAGACGTCATTTCCTACTAACGCATTTTGTAGAAGTTGTCAATCACAGAATCAAAATGGTTTCTTCCATTTGGAAGCTGAGTGAAACTTGCGTGCTGGGTCATTTTTCAATTTTTTTAAAAAAATGGGCTATGGCTATCTATTCAATTTTTTTTGGATGATGGAGATATTAAGAACATTTAGTTTTTCTTTGAAGATGGAACTTGGAGAAACTGGAGAATTTGAAAGTGATAACCAACTTTTAGCTTAAAAATCTTCAGACATTGTTTTCATTAATAGAATTGGGTATTGAGGTTGGAGCATGTGTTGTGTGTATTCTTTTGTTAAGGTTATCCTTAACTTTGTATGCCCCATTTCTTTTTAATTTTTATTACTTCTTCATTATTCTATGTTTTTGGTTCGCTGATTTTGTTTTGTTTTAATGCAGAATGGTAACTTTTAAGCTGGTACTTCCGTGAGTCTGATTGAGATTGCTGGCACCCAACTTCTCCATTAGTTGCTAAATCCTCTGGATGCACGATGGATGGTAGTCAGCGTCAAGAAAATAGCAAACAGGCCGTGGATTACTGTAGAGGAGTTCACTTCCTGGTAAATAGAAAGCTTAAGTTGTGTTATTTTGTTAAAGGATGTGCCACTGGAATCATTTTATTATAATGAGTTTAATTGTGCAATGAATAATGCTTCCCTGCATCAGGTTAAGGAACTGAATGCTCTAAATGTTTTGGAGGTAAATATCCCTATTTTGGAGTCGAGTATGCCAACAGTTGGTAATTGGACTTTTTTGGATATTCAGATATGATACCATAAATGTGATACTCCAAAAGTCCAAATCTCAATCAGGAGGTAAGAATATTCCAGTCTCTCTGCGTTATTTGCTGTTGTACCAAGCATTTTAGTGGTCAAGTTTCTAAGCGTGCTGAAGAAGTCGTTTTGAACAAGGAGTAGGATACATTTATAGCCAAAGAAGGCAGTGTCGCTTTATCATTCTAAAAGTTGTAATTTGTAGTGGTATATGGGGGGCATGTATATCTGAGCTGATCTCTCCCTTTGCCTTATGCCCTTATCCTGTTACTGAAGCAGGCTTAGGCTTATAGTCATGCGGTTTACAGTTCACCGTTATGCATTTTTTTACTCTTCTGGGATTCACTTCACTTGCTAATAATGGTGAATTTTTTTTTTACAAATGTAAGTACTCATTTCTGTTAAAACTTTTCTTCTTTTTTGTTTTTGACTCTTGCTATTCCCTGGTTATACAATTGCAATTTGAAGACTATTGTTTTATTTGCCTATGAAGCCCTCTTTCAAATTTAATTTGAATTCCTTGCTTTTCTCAGTCAAATGAGAGTTGAACTTTACAAATGCTTGATTGGAAGAGATTGTCAAGTTAAAGTTAAAGCATTCCGACACCTTCCGCGATTACTTTTTCATTATGTATCAGCTTCTACCCAGCAAAATTTGTCTCCCAAACTTGTTATTAGCCATGACCACATTCGCTTGTCTTACATGGAAATAACCCAGAAGTTTTATGATGCTATGAAGGCTTGTTCTTCGATTGAGGTGATACCCATTGCACGGAAAATTCATGCCCAACTCATAATCTCTGGTCTGGACGCTTCTACTTTCTTGCAGAACAATCTTCTTCATATGTATTGCAATTGTGGCTTGATTGATGATGCATTTCAGGTTTTCAGCGATAGTAATCATCGTAATATTTTCAGTTGGAATACAATGATCCATGGGTTTGTAGATTCAGGTTGGATGAAGGAAGCAGAGGATCTGTTTGAAAAAATGCCTATAAGGGACTCGATTTCTTGGACCACTATGATGTCAGGCTACTGTCAAAATGGAAGGCCTGGCGATAGTATTAAAACTTTCATGTTAATGGCTTGGGATTTTAATTATGTCATCGATCCGTTTCCCTTCTGTTGCGCAGTGAAGGCTTGTGCGTGCCTTGGCTGCGTGAAATTGGCTGTTCAGTTGCATGGCCTTGTGATGAAATTAGGTTTATTTAGTGAAATTTGCATTAATAATGCAATTGTTGATATGTATATCAAGTGTGGAGCTGTGAGTTCTGCTGAGAAAGTGTTTTCTAACATTGAAAATCCAAGTTTATTTTGTTGGAACAGCATGATATATGGTTATTCTAGATCACATGGAGTTCAGAAGGCTCTCAGTACATTCTCTCAGATGCCTGAACATGACTCAGTTTCTTGGAATACAATGATCTCAATTCTCTGTCAACATGGCTTTGGCGTCCAGAGTCTCAGTATGTTTGTTGAGATGTGCTCTAAGGGATTTCAACCAAATTTTATGACCTATGGTAGCGTACTAAGTGCATGTGCTAGCATATTTGATATTGAGTGGGGTAGTCATTTGCATGCTCGGATTCTTCGCATGGAACATAATATTGATGCTTTTACAGGGGGTGGACTGGTTGACATGTATGCTAAATGTGGGTGCTTAGAATTTGCAAGGCGTGTATTTGACAACTTGACAGAACATAATGAAGTTTCATGGACTTCCTTGATCAGTAGAGTGGCACAGGTTGGACTTGAAGAAGATGCATTGGCACTATTTAACCAAATGAGGTGGTCTCCAGTGAAGTTGGATGAGTTTACCCTTTCCACTGTACTCGGGATTTGTTCAGGCCAAAACTATGCCACAATTGGAGAATTACTTCATGGATATGCAATAAAGAGTGGAATGGATTCATCTGTTCCTGTAGGGAATTCTATCATAACAATGTATACTAAGTGTGGAAATATTGAGAAAGCTGGCCGCGTATTTGGATTAATGCCGATTAAAGATATAGTATCTTGGACAGCAATGATAACTGCATTTTCTCAAATAGGAGACATTGAAAAGGCTTGGGAATATTTTGATAACATGCCTGAGCGTAATGTCATTACTTGGAACTCAATGTTAAGCATGTATGTTCAACATGGTGGTTGGGAAGAAGGTCTTAAGTTGTTTATTTCAATGAGAAGGATAGGAATTGAACCAGATTGGATCACCTTCACAACTTCAATGAGCGCATGTGCTGACTTGGCTATTTTAAAAGTTGGGATGCAAGTTGCATCTCAAGTTGAAAAGTTTGGCCTTAGTTCTGATATTGCAGTTTCAAATGCTATCATTACCATGTATTCAAGATGTGGGCAAATCAGAGAAGCGCAAAAGGTTTTTAACTCAATAAATGAGAAAAACCTGGTTTCTTGGAATGCTATGATGGCAGGATATGCTCAAAATGGTTTAGGTAGGAAAGCAATTGAGACATTTGAGGATATGTTGAAGACAGAGTGCACACCTGATCACATCAGCTATGTTGCTGTTTTATCTGGTTGCAGTCACATGGGACTAGTCGAAGAAGGGAAACGTTATTTTAACGCCATGGTAAAAGATTTTGGCCTTTCTCCAGCAAATGAGCATTTTGCTTGTATGGTAGATCTGCTTGGACGAGCTGGACTACTAGATCAGGCCAAGAATTTGATAGAAGGAATGCCTTTTAAGCCAAACGCCACTGTATGGGGGGCTCTGCTAGGAGCATGTCGGATCCATCATGACCCAAGATTAGCAGAAATTGCAGTCAAAAATTTGATGGAGTTGAACGCTGAAGATTCCGGAGGTTATGTTCTCCTAGCAAATATATACACTGATTGTAGGGAGCTAGAAGGTCTTGCCAACGTGAGAAAGATGATGAAAGAGAAAGGAATTAGAAAGAGCCCAGGTTGTAGCTGGATAGAGGTTGACAACAGGGTACATGTATTCACCGTAGATGACACCAGTCATCCACAGGTAAAGGAAATTTACATGAAATTGGAAGAGATGATGAAGAAGATAGAAGATACAGGAAGATACATTTGTGCAGCTGACGGTCATCGGAGCCAGAAGTACCATAATGAAAAGCTTGCTTTTGCCTTTGGCCTAATTAGCTTGCCGTCTTGGATGCCCGTACGTGTGATGAAAAATCTTCGCGTCTGTGATGACTGTCACTTGGTGATAAAGTTAATGTCTTGTGTCACCTCAAGGGAACTTATTATGCGTGATGGATATCGGTATCATCATTTCAAGGATGGTTTTTGCTCTTGCGGAGACTACTGGTAAATGGTAATATATCATATACCATCTAAATTTAGCCCCTTTCTTACCCTTCTACCTGCGCATTGTTTTCTCTTCACAGTAGATATATAGAGAGATGAAGAACCTGCTATCCATATTCTTTCTAAAATTAATGCTTCTTATGTTGAATTTTCCCCCCCAAATTACAAAGTGACAGATAAATTGACTTCTGTAGTATGTACAAGTGCATTTATTTGAGTTTATAACGTGAAAGAGGACAAAGCAGAGAGAAATGAGGAAGTGGAATATGAATCTTAGGCATGGGAAGCAGAACAAGTAGGCTGGCTATTCATGAAGATGATGAAATTGCTTGCCTGGATTGTCTGAAACATGTCCTGGTGTCTGTTATTTCTAGAGTGTTGAAATTATTGTTACATGCAGTCAAACGTAATTATTGTTCCCATGATAGATATGCATCGGCCTAAAGAATGTTTTGAGAAATAAAGTTGGCATGTAGTGAAACGGGCATGAAATGCCAATAACTTCGTAACCTAGTAAATGTTAATGAAACCAAAAATTACACTACTTTTAGTCTTAAATGTAATATTCATTTACAGGCAAGTGGATACTATGCTTAAAATTGGAGGCAGTACATAATTATAAAAAAAAATTCCATTATCTTTTTAAGAGTTAATATTTAGTTTTTTAATCTTCATTTTAATAATCGAATTCATTTTTTTCGCTAACCAAATTCATCTTTTTATTATCAAAATAATCAGAATAATATTACAATTAAAACAAGCCTTTTCATTTGGTGCAGTTAAGTAAGAATAATTTTTACGTTGACTGAAAAATAAATGTAAAGAATAATGACTTTTGTCAACATTAATCCAAACAAGCATGATAAAGACCAGAAAGAACTAGACATTCTGAGGATTTGGATTGCTATAGATGGAAAAGGTAAATGTTAAAAGAATTGTTATACCAAAAGAAGGGTGTTGCAAGAACTTTGTCTAATAAGTTTGCTCAACATGATTAACCTTGTTCACCGTTTGACTTTTAGAGATTATTCAGCCGAAAAGAAAACTTCTAGAAATTAAAAACTATAATAAAAAAGAAACCATAAAAATGTTAAAAACATTAATCAAACCTTTTTAATAATTAAATAAGTATTATTAACGTATTTTATGAGGTTAATTTATTTTATATGTATACATTCAGTGCTTTTCTTGCCCTCAAATTCAAAGTACGTTTTCCCCTCATTCTTATGCTACCAATAATCATTATTTTAATTTTTAATAAAATTGAAAAAACAAAAAAAAATTACGATTTAAAAGGAAAAACAAAAAGAAAAACCTGTCCAAAACTAAAAAACTTGTAGTTTGCATCAGTGAAAAGCTGGTTCTTATAATTCATTTAACTAACATCTCTGTTTGCAAACAGCTCATACCAGTCGTGGAATTTGTTGAACTAACACATAAATATATGCTAAAAATTTCACATTCTCTTATTATTCTTCCCTTTTCTTTCGCCCTCATCTCTCATTTCAGCCTCTCCATCGAGAAATTTTCTCCCCTCAAAAACTTTCTTCCCTCATTCCTCTCTCTCTCTCTGCTTCAACCCAAAAAAATTCTTTCATTCACTATTCTTCTCAAATCATCATTTTCCCCAGACTCCAACCCCTCTCATCATCAATTTCTTTCTTCATCTAATTCAAAAGCTTTGATCCGTCAAAACCGTGTCCAGAATCAACTCCCAGGTCAGGTCTGCAGCTTACGATTGATTCATCAATCTTCTGGGGGAAATGATCAAGAGCCCAGAAACCAACCAAATAATTCAACAATAGCTTCCTCAGAAACAGGGGGAAAAAAAATTTAAAGGTGGCATTTTTGTGACACTGCGTTTGCCCAGAGCGAGGCCGCTCTGCAACAAATAGCTTCGTCTAAATCCTCCGTTGATATTGCTATGTTAGATAATCTCTGAGGGAAGAATATAAATATATATATATATATATATAGAGAGAGAGAGAGAGAAATATATGGCATTCTATCGTTCTTTTCGAGAACAGGTAGTGTCATCAAGATCACCTATAGTGGACAGAATTGCGGAAGAACCTGTGCCTAGCAAATCAACTCAAAGCACAGTCACGGGCATTTATCAAGTCAACATGGTGGGATATTGGAGAAACGTGACGATATTATGGACAAAAAATTACATGAACCATTCATTACACCTAACAGTTGATGGATTGGGAGGTGAGATTCAGTACAACTGCAAGATTGACGTGAAGCCATGGCACTTTTGGAGCAAGAAAGGCTACAAATCATTCATCGTCGACGGCCACCAAGTCGAAGTCTACTGGGACCTCCGGTCGGCGAAGTTCTCCGGCAGCCCGGAGCCATGCAGTGACTACTACGTTGCACTGGTGTCCGACGAAGAGATTGTTTTGTTATTAGGAGACTACAAGAGGAAAGCCCACAAGAGAACGAAGGCGAAATCTCCACTAACTGATGCAGTCTTGGTGATGAAGAAAGAAAACGTGTTCGCCAAGAAAAGCTTCTCGACAAAAGCGTGCTTCGACGAGAGTGGTAAAGAGAGCGACATAGTTGTGGAGAGTTCAAGTTCAGGTCAGAACAAGGACCCAGAAATGTGGGTGAGCATTGATGGGATAGTGATGATCCATGTGAGAAGCTTGCAATGGAAGTTTCGTGGGAATCAGACAGTGATTGTGAATAAACAACCTGTGCAAGTTTTGTGGGACGTTCATGATTGGTTGTTCAGTGAGAGTGGTTCAGGTGGGGCTGGTCTGTTCATATTCAAGCCAGGACCTTTCGAACCAGACAGTGAAAAAGAAGGAAGTGCGTTATCTGGGTGTGAGAGTGATGATGGAAGTGGGTTTTATTCAACAAAGAGCCAAGCTACCAACTTTGATTTTTGTCTGATTCTCTCTGCCCATAAAATTGAGTAATGATGAAATGAATTAATGCGTGGGAGGAAGATCGATCGATGGGCCAGTAAACCCTGATGCTGCTGAGAGAGATGTTCACAAGATATGGTTGATATACTGTGGTGTTTCCGCGAGAGAGAGAGAGAGAGAGCAGAAAAGTGTTGTAAAGTTAGATGTGTTCATATGAGATTCATTCATGGATTGAACTGTTGATGATGTGAAGGATGTGGGGTTGTTCGTGTAAAGCTAATTATTGAAAAGCCTGCCTGATTAAAACCAGATAATTTTCTGGGAGATTTCATCATTTTCTTTCGCATGCAGTTTTAATCAGATTTTTTGTACAAAAGTTTTCTGAGAGCGTTGAAGATATCTAAAATTGCTTGTTCAGATGGCATCCTTTTTTTCCTTTTAACAAAAGAAAGGTTCTAATATGCTAACAAGAGTGGGTCCAGTTAATAAAAAATCAGCTGATGACTCATAAAATCATGAGGTTGAATACCGCTTCCAATGTGCTAAAGGCATAGCATATGCTGAACGTGGCTAATAATAACTAATAATTGCGCAACAAATCGCATATTGCATTAAATCAATTTGTTCTGATTCTCTTTGTCGATTCCACCTATCTTTGTTGCCCCTATCGTTTTGGCTGTAGTTATGACCTGCATTGCATTGCAAAATGGTGCTTTAAATGAAACAGTCTGCATACCAAGCTTTAGAAAATACATAACTTATGTTAGTTAAAAAAAAAAAAAAAAAACAAGAACAAGATAACTTGGACTTTTGTCAGATGACAAATTTGGTTTAAATAATGAGTCAAAATACTGACCTTAAATTTGAAATAAAAATGAGAAGCAAGTGAAAAAAAGATGGAATTTCCTTTTTTTTTCTGTAATAATGGTGGTTTTTAGTCATTGTATATTGATTATATTTAATTACACAAATAAGAGTACATTTACCTAAAATCATACTAAACATATCCACCATAATCACCATTAAATTACATTCCCACTTTTTTTTTTGAAATAAAACTGGATGCTATATATTAACCGACAGAAATATACAAGAAGCAACAGAACCTAAACCAGTCTAAAAAACACATCTATCTAAGTTCTCTCATCAGCCACCGCCTCTTGAATAAAAAGAGGTGGTTGATCAAAGATACAAAAATTTCCTGGAATCGTATGAGCTAAACCAGCTAAAGAGTCAACGATTAAATTACAATCCCTGTTTACAAAGTGAAAGTTAACTTGCCAGTCCCTAAGGAGAAATAGTTTAGCATCCTCAATGGTGTCTCTAAAAGGGTGGTCATGATTACAACTTTGAATCAGTAAGTTAATGGCCATGATTACATTCCCACATATTTCATGAACTAAACGGCATAAAGTAAAAATGTTTTTAAGGGGGAAAAAATGCAAACCCCTAAGTGAAAATCAAACTATAATTTTAAAAATAATTTAAAAATAATTATATGAGAAAAAAAAATTCCCTATTTATATAAAAACACTTTTTAAAAGTGTTCTCTTGTTTAGCCAAACACCCCTAGTTATAGAACTTTCTCTTGCTGTCACTGCCGTTTTGTGCTTCAGCCCAGTGTAAAAGCATTTGAGTCACGCAACTCCCACATTGAGCCAAGAAAGTATCACATTTTCATTAAATAAAGGTAAATTAATTTCTTGGTGAACGCAATCTGGTAATTCTGACTTTACCATTTGACACCAAGTCTCCGTAAAAATGAAGTACTATTATTTCGCAAACAATACAAGGAGAAAAAGATTGCAGAGTTAGATGTATTAATCCAAATGACTATCGTAAGGTCTGCTTGATTAAAACTACGTTACTAGGATTGGCATTCAAATACAAACCACACACAATTTACAACAATGTCATATTTACATCCTAATCACAACTTTGACACAATCTGGTTGTTTTAACAGCTCCAAAGCTTTGTCTATATCTGTCAATGACACTTCATGAGTTAGAAGTTCATGAAGAGGGAACTCCTGCGAAAAAGGAAATTAAACGGTTAAATATCACCACAGATTTGATAAGTAAATAGAATGTGCGAGTGTACTTGTACTGAAAATAATGCTGACCTTTTTCAGGCATTTGTCAACCACGAAAGGAAGGTCAGATTTGGGTTTTAGCCCTCCAAAAGCAGAGCCTTTTAAGGTTCGCCCAAATAAAAGTGAGCGAAAGTTGATGTGCACAAATTCTTCAGTTACTGAACCAATTACTATTGTCTTTCCTTTCCCCTGTATGAACAGAGTATGCCACCAAAAGAATTAACACATCACTTTAGAACGACAAATGCAAATAAAAGGGCCATGACAAATTGGTTCACATATTGCTTTGGCTGAAACCTGCATGCTGCAGTTGATTAAAAAAAAGACCATAAAACAACTTGAACTCTCTATTCCTGCAAGAACTCATTTGGAAATAGAAGTCTAAATGCGCCATACTAATGCTGGAGAGTATGCCCTTGAGGTCATTAAAGAATCAGATTTAGTCGGCATGAAATCTAGAAATAATTGCTAGGATGAGTTGAAACATACCAACTTCGTGGCTTGCAGGGCTTCAGTAAGACAAGGGGCAGCTCCAGTGCACTCAAAGGAATAATCCACACCCATTCCACCACTTAGTTCCTTCACCAATTCTGATGCTGATTTATCAGATGCATTAGGATTGATAAAATCTGTCATTCCAAAAGCTTCTCCTTTCTCCTTCTTCATTTCATTTTTGTCAATCCCAATTATCTTAGTTGCCCCCATCATTTTCGCTGTGCTTATAGCCTGCATTGCATTGCACAGATATGCCTCAAATGAAACCAGTCTAGTCTACATGCCTGCCCTTGAAAACAAAACAAAAAAACAAAAGACAAAAAAATAATGTATAAAATTCTAACAACTACGTGGATCTCTTTGCACCAAATTTGACAGTTTACAAACTACTTAACTTACCCTTTATCAGAAGAAAATTAGACTCCAATGGTGAGATGAAATAATGACTAAATTCAAAGACCATTAGGTTTGGCCTTAAATTCTAAATAAAAATGAGAAGAAAGGGTGACATTACAGTCATTTTAGTGATTGAAAGACTAAGCTGAAAAATAATTTGCAGAAGACTTCATCTGTCAGATACTAAAATAAAAGTATTCTCAAGAAAAAGAAGCCATACCCCTAAACCAACACCACCAAGGCCGAAAACAGCAACGGATGATCCACTTTCAACTTTGGCTTCCTTCCAAACAGCCCCAAAACCAGTTGAGAACCCACATGAGATGAAGGCAGCATGGGCTGGGTCAATGTTAGGATCAACTTTGACGAGGTAATTTTCTTCAGTCACCATGTACTCTGCAAATGTGGAACAACTAAAGAGATGGAATATCTTTTGACCTCTTATGGACATCCTTGAAGTGTTATCCAGCATTAAGCCATTTAATGTAAGAGGGTATTTCAGGCACAGGTTGGATTCCCTTGAAATGCAGTTCTCACATCCTTGACATTCACCAACAGATGTTGGGATCACAACATCGCCAACTTCTACAGCTGTTACTTTCTCCCCAACGCTCTCAACAATACTGCAATATGTTCAACACTGGGAGGTCAAACGTATTGTCATCTTGATTTTTGAGCATATAGTAGATCAAGTTAGAATGGGAATTTGCTGCTTACCCAACCCCTTCATGCCCCAAAACTCGAGGAAACAAAGGCTGCACATAATATAAAGGTATTAACTTTCTCAAAGTTGATTTCTTGTAAAACGGAGAAGCAAGGAAAATCTCCCTTTTGGCAGACTCATTCACTGCTTCTTCTTCGATAAGTTTGATCGAGAATTTTAAATTCTATTATATCTATTATCTTGATATCTTCTCTTGCTGTAAACAGTTTAATACGCCAGCGATGGCGAACAGGATAAGAACATTATGATCGATATGGCAGACTTCTATGGGTATTTGATTATAAACTTTGAATTAAATCTTCCTTACTAGAACAAGTTCCAATCTCTTGCTCAATCAAATGTCATTGCAGAAGATCTTCTTGTTTTGATTAAGTTCTTTGCTGACTTTCGTTTTTATGTTTCAGAAAATATTTCCTTCTTTCTGAACTTTAATGCCCCGGTTTCATAAAATAGGGGTTTATTATGTTGTATCATTTTATTTAATTTTAAAAAAATGACACTCTCTTTAAACTATCTGCGACTAAACCGAATGTCTTCGAGATGGAAGAATAAAAGGAGAGAGAAGGCGAGTTACGATTGGAAATCCTGAGGCCCTAAGGAGGTCGGTGTGGCAGATACTGGCACAGATCATCTTGACTCGAGCTTCAGTTGGTTTAGGAGGATCCACTTGTATGTCTTCCACCGTCACATCGTTTTCTCCGCCTCCCCACCATACTGCCCCTGCATTTCCAGAATCCGCAGAGCTTGTTCAGTCTCAACTCAACCAAATTGCAGAAATCAAGCAGTCTATTATGCCATTTTGAAACTACAAGAGAAAGAAGAAGAATACCTTTGCATGTAATAACTTGTGATGCTGGGGCCATAGTCACTCACTTCCCACTGAGACTGAAATTAATAAAGCAGATAATCCATATATGGCCTGTAGTTTGTGGAGAAGATGACATATAGGGATATGGGATAGTGCTTTGTTCCCCGGGGGGTCCGCGCGGGACAGTCACGTAGAAGGTTGCTCCTTAGAAAGGACAGCTGCGAAGGGAAAGCTGAGGGCGACGAAAAACAGCCATTTGGTTCTTTTTGATTGTTTGTTCTTTTACCTTAGCGATGCTATGGTACGAGTCACTTGTCTCCTTCTTCATCTTCTTCTGGTTGCTGCCTTTCCTTACTTCTGTAAAAATGTTTGGATAAACTCGAATTATAGCTTAGATAATAACTTCTTTTCTTTATAGATTTATGAGAGAATAAATTTTATAAAGAATAGGTTCTGTGAAAAAGTGACTATGATAAAATAAAAATATTTAGATAGTTGTTATTAGAAACACTTTTTATATGTACAAATTACTAAAAAAAATATATGTTAATATGATAATTATATAAAAAATAAATTTTATAATATATTTTAGGAAAAATCTCAAAAAAATGACTGTTGAATTTTAAAATTCCAAATCAGTATTGATTACTAAACTTATAAAGAAAATGACTACACTCAAAAAGCAAATAACAACACATTTTTGTAGTAATTCCTGATTTGTCATTTTAAAATTCAACGGTCATTTTTTTGGGATTTTCCCTATATTTTAATTTGAAGAAATAAAATTGTTAATAATATATTTTTTACCAATATAATTAATAATATATAAGATAATATAATTAGTAAATAATTAATATGTATATATATTTATAAAATATAAGATTAAATATGCTTATAAAAAAATAATTGAGAGGTGTTAAAGCCATATTATCATTGAAATCTACTCTAATAGGTACAATCATACTCTCTAATTTGAACCAGAAGAAAAATAGATTTACTTTTTCTGAAACCATGGTTTTGAGTCCAAAACCATAGTTTGTTAATTTTCCCTCCTATTTGGCAAATCTGGGACTCAAACTATAGTTTGGATCCTAAAAGGGTTAAGGTGCGCTCAGCACCCCGAACTATTTTTTCAGGTGCACCCAGTGTCCCAAACTAATTAAAACGGTGCATTCAGTGTCCCAAACTAATTAAAACGGTACATCCAGTGTCCCAAACTAATTAAAACGGTGCATCCATATCTCGGACTAACAGAAAAGTTAAGTTTGACCGTTATTTGCTGACTCAGCAGAAGGTTGACTGACGTGGCGGACACGTAGGCATCTGATGTGTATAATTTTGACGGGCCAAGGTGCGTCCAGCACCCCAAACTATTTTTTTAGGTGCGCCCAGCACCCCGAACTATTTTTCCAGGTGCGCCCAGTGCCCTAAAGTAATATTTTATGTATCTAGTGTCCTAAACTAATTAAAACGGTGTGTCCACATTTCAAGCTAACAGAAAAGTCTCGTTTGACCGTTACCTTACTGACTCAGCTGAAGATTGACTGAAAAATCCTACATGACGAACACACAGGCGTCTAATGTGTATTATTTTGACTGAAAATTCAATTTATTTCCTCCTCTTCTAACATTTATCTTCTGCCAGTTTTAAAACTTAAAAAAAAGAAAGACCACCGATCCACCCTCTTAAGTTTTGGTAGATGTACCACCCATTCAATCACATCCTTGTCTTTAAGATTTTATCCCCTTTCTTCCACCACACACTTCCATCTCCGTCTCTATCAACTCCTCATTCGACTCGCGTTTGTTTTCCTCCTCCTAGAACACAGTGAACTTTTCCCTGGTCACTTCGTTGACATCGTCGTCGCCATCCGAAAAAACACCCGTTGCTACCAGGCTCGTCTTGGGAGCTTTAGTCAAAATAATACACATCAGACATCTGTGTATCCGCCATGTAGGATTTTCTTGTCAATCTTCAGTTGAGTCAGTAAGGTAATGGTCAAACGAGACTTTTCTGTTAGCCTGGGATGTGGACGTACTGTTTTAATTAGTTTAGAAGACTGGATACATAAAAAAATTACTTTAGGACACTGGGCGCACCTGGAAAAATAGTTCGGGGTGCTGGGCGTACCTAAAAAAATAGTTCGAGGTGCTAGGCGCACCTAAAAAAATAGTTCGGGGTGCTGGGCGCACCTTGGCCCGTCAAAATAATACACATCAGATGCCTACGTGTCCGCCACGTCAGTCAACCTTCTGCTGAGTCAGCAAATAACGGTCAAACTCAACTTTTCTGTTAGTCTGGGATATGGATGCACCGTTTTAATTAGTTTGGGACACTGGATGCACCGAAAATTACTTTAGGACACTGGGTGCACCTGGAAAAATAGTTCGGGGTGCTGGGCGCACCTTAACCCATCCTAAAATCATGGTTTCCTATGTTACCCAAACAGGCCCTAATTCTTTTTTTCTTGCTGCCAGACTATACAAAGCATTCAAAATGAGAGATATGAGTTAGGATTGTGATTAAGAATATCTATTAAAAGAGTATTTAATATGAGAGATTACTTGTTATATGAAATTAAACAAACCCATGTATATGAGATTAAGGAAGTGGTATTCCCCAATCCTACCTCCATAAGTTTGCATAATGTCATATAACAAGTAATTATTTATGTTAAAAACTTTTTTTAACTATTTTTTTCAATTATAATCATAGTTCTTATTGTTATTTTTAATGTTTCGTATCAAGAACCTTAGTTCCTCTAGTCATTAGTTTTTGTTTTAGCCATTGATTATTAGATCAAGAGAGGGTACTTCTTACATTCTATTTACAAAGGAAAAAAAAAAACGAAAGAAAAGCTCCCGTGGATAAGGTAGGCATTTATTTTAGTTTTTAGGGGATAATTTCAATTTATTTTCTCTCTTAAATTTATAATTAATATGAGCACTTTTCAGTGTAAACGATTAAACAGAATCTTTTAAATAAAACAAAAACACATTTTTAACGCACAAATAATTCAACTATTTTTTAACGTTCACAAATTAGTCATATATAACTCAAGCATTTATTTTAAGAGAGGAGTGAGTACTTCTTATGTTTTTACTCATAGTCATTACTCATCACACAACATGCTTTTATCTTTTATATAAAATTAAGAATAATTACATTTTCTAGTATTCAATTATTATTAATTATTTTAGATTTACCAACAATTTACAATTATATCATATTCACATCCTAAATCCTAATCACAACTTTGAAGCAATCTGGTTGCCTAAATAGCTCCAAAGCTTCGTCCACATCTTTCAAGGACACCGCATGAGTTTCAAGTTCATGAAGAGGAAACTCCTGTAAATGGGAAAACAGTCAATTAATATCACACACTTAGCCGGTAAATAGTGTGTGAGAGTGTGCTTCAATTGTAAAGGAGCTAACCTTTTTCAGCCATTTGTCAGTTACGAAAGGGAGGCCAGATTTGGGTTTTAGTCCGCCAAACATAGAACCTTTTAATGTTCGCCCAAGTAAAAGGGAACGGAAGTTGATGGGCACAGATTCTTCACTTACTGAACCAGTTGCTATCGTCTTTCCCTTGCCCTGTATAAATAGAGTATCTCAATAACAGAATTGACCCATCTGCTTCTAACACCAAATCAGAAAAAGGGCCGTAATGTATTGGTCCGTGAGATTCTAAATGCACAAGATCATTAAAGAAGGTGATTTAGTATGCATAAAATCTAGAAATACTCTTCACTCTGATAACCAAAAATGAATTGGTTTATTGAGTTGAAAATGCCAATTTTGTGGCCTGTAGTGCTTGAGAAAGCAAGGGGACAACTCCAGTGCACTCAAAACAATAATCCACACCCATTCCACCACTAAGTTCCTTGACCAACTCCGAGATTGATTTATCAGATGCACCAGGATTGATGAAATCTGTCATTCCAAAAGCTTCTCCTTTCTCCTTTTTCATCTCATTTTTGTCAACCCCAATTATCTTAGTTGCCCCTATCATTTTGCCTGCACTTATAGTCTGCACTGCATTGCAGAGAGGTGCCTTGAATGAAACCAGTCTACATACTAAGATAGATCAAATTTCTAGCAGCTATGTGGAGTTCTATTTTGATTTTCAAAAAGATTGTTTCCATTGATTTGCCCCAAATTTGAGAGTTAATTAACTACAAGTTTGATTCAAATTATGAGTTGAAGAAATGACTAATTCATAGACTATTAGGTTTGACCTTAAATTCTAAATAAAAATGAGACGGAAGGGTGACATTACAATAATTTTAAAGAATGAAAGACTATAAATTGAAAAAGAAAAAATGATCTGTAGAAGACATCACCTGTCAGATACTAAAACGAAAGTATTCTCAAGAAAAAGCATACCCCTAACCCCGCACCACCAATGCCAAAAAGAGCGACAGATGAGCCACTCTCAACCTTGGCTTCCTTCCAAACAGCCCCAAACCCAGTTGAGAATCCACAAGAGATGAGCCAGCATGGGCTGGGTCAATGTTGGGATCAACTTTGACAATGTAATTTGCTTGAATCCCCATGTACTCTGCAAATGTGGAACAGCTAAAGAAATGGAATATCTTTTGATCCATTATGGACATCCTTGATGTGTTATCCATCGTTAAGCCGCTTATTCTCATAGGGTATTTCAGGCAAAATTTGGATTCCCTTGAAATGGAGTTCTCACATTCTAGGCATTCGCCAATAAAAGTTGGGATCACAACATCGCCTACTTCTAGATCTGTTACTTTCTCCCCAGTGCTCTCAACAACACTGCAATAAGTTCGACAATGGGAGGTCATATATATTGTCATCTTGATTCATAATTTAGATCAAGTTAGAATGAGAATTTGCTGCTCACCGAACAACTTCATGCCCAGATATTCGAGGGAACAAAGGCTGCACGTAAAATAGTGATATTAGCTTTCACACATGTAGTTGGTGTCTTGTACAACTGAGAAACAACGAGAATCTCCCTCTTGACCAACTCATATTCACTGCTTCTTCTTCGATAACTTTCGTTGAGAAATCTAAATAGTATGATATACTATATATCTTGTTATCTTTTATCATTGTACAAGTTTAATATAATAGTGATGGCGTGTGAGGAGTAATTTTTTATTTTCAAATCATCACTAAAACTTCAAGTTCAAACCTTTTCAAAATCGGTCTCAAGATCACCCCCTATTCTTTCAATGACTCTGGAT